TTCAGCTACAAATAAGTAGATTTGAACGTTATATCATATTTCAGCCAAAAAATTTCAACAGAATTCTTTGGGATCCTCTCAGGGTATGAAAAAAAGGATAATAAAATCATAGAAACCAAAATCTATTTGTACTCATACATGAATAATTAACATACCTTATTCTTTAAAATTCCACAAAGGAAAAAAAAGCAAAACACCTTACCTTTGTAGTAAGTTTTCTAACGCCAAGGCCACCGCTCTTGCTTCCAGGTTTTTTACTGCTAATGGGCTTTTTAACAAAATTGATCACCGGTGAATTAGTTGCTTTAGGAGAATGAGCAGTCTCTGCACCTCCATGATTGTTCACTGGATTTTGTTCCAACATATGGGCAGCCTCAAGCTCCTTAAGACCATTAGCAGGCTTTTGTAATGATGCTTCCTTAACTGATAAAGAAGGTAACATGGCATCTTCTTCCATGCTTTTAGCAACTTCTTTAGACAGTATTTGCCTATATATTTCAGCTGCTCTTGAAGCATACTTTGCCTCAATTTTACCACCATCTGTCCATCCATGTTGCTTAAAGAAGACATGTGCACGATTGTTGCCGCCGAAAGCCATCATTCTAAGCTGCTCAGGACTCCATGAATCCAAATTAGTTGACCTGTAGAATGAATAGAAATTGTGGTTAGAGATACTACATGCACAAGCATCATAACTATATTCAGCTTCTAAAATGAATGATAGTACGGTGAGAAAAAAAATAGAAATTTCACTAATTGAACTTGGTTCAAATGGAAAGTTTAGCTCTACAACAGAAAATATGAAGGTTTGGATAGATGAAAATTTTGACGAAGGTTTTTCTGAGCTTAACAAAATCCTACAAGTGATCCTCACTGGTAGCTGGTGGTATGCCAACGGCATAAGATGCAATGAAAAGAAAAATTGTGCACATCTTTTGAATAATAATGAGAGAGAGAGAGAGACAGAGACAGAGAGGTCAAGGATGGCAGTTAGTAGGGTACACAACGTTGTCCTACAAATTGATGAAGTAGTAAAAATAAGTATCATAGCCTCGTTGTCGCTAGAAGTGCATAATGAAAATTGTAAACAACTTAATGAATACCCATGTTGGTGGAGGCGTAGACCTGGTTATTAAGAGATTAATTTGAGGGCAGAGGAGTGGACCTTAATGGCTGTAGGTAAGTTCAATGATAGAGGTAAGGATCTGAGTTCTGAGGAGGATTTAGCCTAGATCCAACTACTATGCAACAATGTGCAAGAGCTTGATGGCATGGGAAAGGTCAGCGAATGATAGGAAGAACAATGAGAAGCCAAAAAAAAAAAGGTAATTTCTCATGGAAAAGTGCCGACAATGGTGAGTGCGGTGAGTGTGCGCTGGGAGAAGATCCTAGCACATAAATTAGTTATATAATTTTGAGTTTTAGATGTTTAATTTTAAATTCTTAATAATTATTCATTTACAAAAGTCATAATTTAGCCTATATATTATCTTTCTATAGATATTAAATGTAAAAAAGATTATAGATTCATGAAGTATTACGCTCAATTATCAAGCATTCAAAAGGCTAAAACCAAACCCGGTGAGGCTATACTAATAAGTAATAATCTAAATATTAAACATAAAGCACTAATCATCATAGTAAGAAAATACACCGTATTGAGTTCAGACGGGCCAAATATCATATTAATAAAACAAAATTGTCATCCCAATAAGGAGAAATGAAGAAAATGAAAGTTGTAATCCATGAGCAAGAAATAAGGCTTAAACGAAAAGATCAACTCTCTCCAAATGCTTCGAGTCTTACACTGGAGGCTATACTAATAAATTACGCTCAATTATCAAGTATTCAAAAGGCTAAAACCAAACCCTGTGAGGCTATACTAATAAATAATAATCTAAATATTAAACACAAATCAATAATCATCATAGTAAAACAATACACCGTATTGAGTTCAGACGGGCCAGATATCATATTAGTAAAACAAAATTGTCATCCCAATAAGGAGAAAGAAAGAAATTGAAAGTTGTAATCCATGAGCAAGAAATAAGGCTTGAACAAAAGGATCAACTATCTCCAAATGCTTCGACCCTTACACTGGATTAAAGCCTAAATTCCTAGAAGAAGAAGAATGATTACGTAGCCAAAAACAAACTTTATTAAAACAAAGAATTAATTTTATAGGCACCTAAAGTTATATTTAAAAAAAGATGGTAAATTACAGTGTACGATGGATAACATCAACCAAGCAACCACCAAAGGAACAAAATCGTAAAATAAATCATGCTACAAATAACCAAAGCCAAGAAAATTAGCAAGTTCATTTGAAGAAAATGGCTTTAGAGGATAAAGAAGGTTTAATTAAATTATAATGATGAGCTATCAAATAACGAACAATTTATGAAGGCTAACAATAAAGCTATACTATTGCAATTTTAGGAGGAAGATCTCAATGTTGATTTCTTCGATGGATGAAGGAGGGCCACCATGTCCAACACAAGTCAACATGTAACTAATAGAAATTGTTACCATAAGAAATTTATATAATTTAATTTGTAACAATCAATATATTCATTGTTTTAAATTTTATTTAATATTCTCATTAATTTTTATTAATTAGAGAAAAAGGCGGTGGAAATCGAAGATGAGAAGAAAATTTGGGAGGATGTTGACACAATAAAGAATGAGAGAGTGCATAAAAAAATTCATTATAATAACAATTCTAATCAGGGGTGGACCCAGGTAGCATCCAGGGGAGTCAATTGCCCCCTCTCAAATTCAGATTTTTACTTATATGAGAGAGCAATCCAGTATTTTGCCCCTCATGAAATATCAGTTTGTCCTTTGTTGCCCTAGCTCTTCCCACGTTGGATCTAGAGGGATAGTTTGGCTGGTTCCGCCCCTGATACTAATGAAAGCTCATTTAGTAATGAGAGTGGCACAAATTTAATGTATAAATCATGATCTTAGTGGCTTAAATTACTAATTCATGTTGATTTTTGGGTGAGATACTTGTTGTGATGAATTTATTTTAATTTTTTACGACTGTGTTTTGATATTAGCATGATACTTCTGCTTCATATTTTTTATCAATTTACTGCTTTGATTCTGAGCTTAAGCCTAAAAAATCCTCGAGGCTTGAGCCTAAATACCAAAATGCATAATTTCAAACCTTTTTTTTAGATAATTCCCAACCACAAATTGATTGGCAAGCTAAAGGAGTCAATCGAAGTCTATGGGATTTGTTATGTTGTTCGATAAACGAGCATACATCTAGTTGAATTTTGATATTATCTATTGCTGAGTTTGCATACAATTCATCTCTCAATATGTTTTTGAACATGATCCCATTTAAAATATTTATTAGATTTTAACCAACTCAAACTCAAGCCATTTATTCAATAGGTTAACAATTCAACCCAAACTCAAACCCAACCTATGATGATAGGAAAAACATTTTTTTAAGCTATGACAAGTTATTATTGACCAGACTCAAAATTAACACAATTACTCAATTTGGACAAGACATGTAGAAAAAAATAACAATAATTACAATGACACGAGTTAGTAATTTAAAAAATCAAATAGTTAAATCATTAATTTTTGAGTTAGCTCAAATCCGATTCGACAAGTCAGAACCAAATAAGTTTTTTTTTTTTCAAATTAGATAAGCAAAGTCGAATCTCACATTAGCTTGACTCAAAACCAAATTTTTAAATTCAGTTCCAATATCCACACCCATAACAATTACACACATTAACAGGACAAATATTAACTAAATGATTCATCTAAGCCAAATTTTTTCTATCCAAACCAATTGTTGTAAATCTTAAAATCTAGGTCCATTGGTAACACAAAATGTTTGTATTACAAAGAATAATATGAAATTTGAACTTTTGCGTATAAAAAGTTCTAGTTTTGTATTTGAAATTTTAGATTCATTTTGTTAAGACAATGAGGGTTTGTATTTTGATGTGGGATAGATTCCCACAATCCTAACGTTATGGCGTTCCTATCCTTTCTATTACTTGTAGCAAATAATTGGTCTTGTAGTTAGTCATATGGCTGGTTCAATTTTTATTATCAACTTCTTCTATTATTTCACAATTTTTTTTTCATCTTTGCTTAGGGACTGCAACAAATGTTGTGCTATATCATGATTTTTGTGATTGCTCAATGAACTAACAAGTTAATCTTGAGTTAACCAACAAGTTAACCTTGAGTTGCCCCTGACTTGACTCAGATTGCCTCATTAGCTCGTAAGTCATCTTAATTAAGAAATTTCGATATTAAATATGCTTAAAATATTATACTTCATTGCTTTAAGTCAAAAATATTTAAAAAAACTATAAAAATCAAATCATAATTCTCTTCATTATCTCAAATACTCTCTCAGTATTTTTATTTTGATTTTCATTCTTTTTTATCATTTTATTATTACAACTTTTTTGGATTGGCGTCATCTACTCTTTTCAATAATAAAAGGGCTAGTTTATAGGCCAACTAAAACTCATGGTATTAGGATTAAGCTTAAAATTGAACTCCATTGATCACACAACCAAAACCTCAAGCCAGGCACAACCTAAACCAAACTCGACTCATTTATGTCCCTAGAAAAGGCTAGCTCCTTGTATATAAGGCTTGTTTTTTTGTGGTGACAACTTCACACTTCTTTCCTTTCTCCCTTCACTTTTTCTGGCCTAGACATGTGATTGAATTTTTAAAAATTTACTATAGTCTTTTGCATATATTTCAATCTTCTATATAGCTTTTGTGTTCTCCATCTTTCCTTACATTAATCTATATCAAAAACCATAAATCTTAGGTAAGAGTTGAATTTTATCTCTTTTCCATTTTCATTAAATATAGTAAACAATTATTAAATATTAACTCTTTGTGTCCTACAAAAATTGTATGTTGGTTGCATTCTTTGGATGTAGCTGACATTCTACATCTCCTTATCCCCATCATAAAATCTATGTTTTCATAGTTGTGACTCCACATCTTGCATAACCTCTAATGTAACCAAATCAGACTCATCAATCTTGTTGTAACTCCTATGATTTAAAGAGAAAAATCAACCACTCTATAATGAAAGAAATAAAATGAAAACAATATCAACATTTCCCCACAGAAAAAAATCAACATTGCCGCAAGTCTCACCTCACGAAGCTGATGTGCACGCCGAGGCTGCGGTGAAAAGCCGAGCAATCCATGCAGAGGAATATCCCATATGTAACAGAAGCCCAACTAGGGTTCTTCGCATTGCAATCAAAACACATCTACGAATAGAAAAGAACACATCGTGAGAGGCGATCAGATCCGCGGAGATTATGCAGGATCTGCAAATCACGGCCTAGATCTAGAATCCTTAGCAAACCATGTAGCAGAGAAACAAAGAGGCTACCTTGTTATCGGACCTCGCTTTGAGCTTCTTGAACACAGAGTTCTTGTCTGTGAAATCCTCGGAAGCCATGGCCGCAGATGAAAATTGCGAGAAAGATTGGAAATGGGGAGGAGAGGAGTTGCTTCCCGGTAAAAAGAGAGGAACTTCTTTGTGCGGTTACTACTCCCCTGCTTCCCCAACTGCTAGAATTTAGGAAGAAAACAGCGAGGCTAAACGCTTGTACCCAGGGCTTCTTCTCAACAAACGGTTAGTAGGCAATTAATGAAATAATGCCAACTCTTAGTTGGCACATCCGGCATCATTAAATGAATGTAAGCCATTTTAATCTGTCGGTTCAAAGTTTAATTTTTAATGAATGGATCCGAACCCAAACTCTTACGTATGAAATGGGTGCATTTACGATTAAATTGGCTAACCCTTTTAACGATAGCCTCTCAATGGAGGTCGTCCTAAACAATTTTTGGAATAGATTAAAATTGAATTGGATAAATGATAGCTGCTCACTAAAATTTCATTTTTACACGCATAACAGTTTACTTATGGATTAAGAGATGGGTTTGATTTTTAAATGATGATAATGAATGTAATTTTTCATATGATATTTGTAATAATAAAAGTTATAATGTAAGATAACTAAATATCAAAGTTTTTAGTGTTATGTTCATATGATATTTGTAATAATAAAAGTTATAATGTGAGATAACTAAATATCAAAGTTTTTAGTGTTAAGTAAAAGATATAAATATTATAGTTATTTCTCCGGCTCTCAACGAGCATTGATAACATACAGAAAATTCACTTAATTTGTATATTCATATGTAATAATTTTTCGTGAATGACAATGTCTATAAACTATGTTTTATTTGTGCGAGGATATCTAATTTTCCATTAAAACCAGCCTCAATAACTGTGGGTTGAGTGATATGCTCAAGGTGTTGGGCCCATGCAACAAGACTTATATAATGTGTTTGTCAACATTGTGAATGAAAATAAAAAAATGATTTGAAATAATGACTGAAGGGGATTGAATAAAAATCATTGATAGTTCTAACTTGGATTTATATATTGGTGACAGTGGATTTAAATATATAGAAAATATTTAAAAAATGAAAAAAAATGCATGAAACAATCAAGTAATTTGAGTACTTGACGTACATCCATTGTAGGGGGATAGAAAAAAGATTTCGCAATGGTGAATGAGAAAAAATAGACATATAACGATAAAAGAGAAAACAACCAAAATATTTAAGAAATTCAACTAATTGGGCAACATTTATTGCAGGGGTAGAAAAATTTTCTTAATGGAGGATGAAAATGAAAGGGGTTGCAAGTTATTTTCTGAATATCCCAACCATAAGCCTCTCCTTATAAAATGTTCAATCTCAAAATTAAATCTTTAAAATTCCCTTAGAAAGGGGATATTTATAGTGGAAGCAATAGTTCTTTATAATTTTAAGGTGGAGATTCATATGCAAGTCACACATACTTGACTATGGTGTTATCAAAGGATGTGATGCTTATAGTGAAATTAGAAAGGATTATGAACTAAAAATCAATTAGTGGATGATTATATACCAACCAGCATTATAGGCATCATGACCAACATGTCTTGATTGTTACCCTGTGAAGTAGGTGTAATAAATTATATATTATAAGAAATAGAAGGCCATGAATTGTTTGAGGAAGAATTCAGACTTGATTATTATTATATGCCCATATGGTGTCGTTGGAGTGGTTGGACCAAGCGGCGATGAACGAAAATATATCAAAACAAAAGATTATTAGGTTCAAGAATTGAATCTAGTTAACAGAAGAAGGAATAGTTAAGTGGATAAACCAATATATGATCTAACTGATGCTCCTTTAATATAGTCGGCATTTAAATATGTGAAACTTGGTGGCGAGTCTTCTGGTAAATGATTGATAAAGAGGACCTCAGGCTTGGTGGGCAAATTCTAGGGGTTGGATAATTATAGTTCATGTCATGTTGACTTCTTACTGAACTAATTCTAAATTTAACATATTCAATGGCAGATCACTCCAATTAGAGTTCCAAATTGTTGATATTTGGATGGCCCAAATGAAGCAACTGACTTGAGGCATTACACATTCCAAAAAATTAAAAAATATTTTCAGTCGAAGTCATAATACTATGTCAGTTTCCAGTCAAAATAGTCAACTTATAATTTTTTTTTTTAATTTGTATTCATGATAAATTGACAAATAATATATGTAAGACAATAGTGCACTAAGCAGGATTATAAATAAATACAACATTAAATAATATTGCATAATGCATGGTATTATACATATATATTACATCAAGTGCTCTCGATGTTTTATCACTAAAATTTTTTAGTATCGTTGTGTGTTGTGCTGGAAATTTCTCATCGGCATAGTTATATTAAGGTTTTAGGATTGTACATAAATCTCACACACAACTTCAAAAAAGAAGAGTTTATAGAGGAGGCATTGTGAACTTTTATGAGGAAAACCAGAAAGAAAATAAACCATGGATTTAACTCAGCTGAAATAATTTTTACTATTCAAATGCATATCACAACACTTTACATAGTAAGAGTTTATAGAGGAGGCATTGTGAACTTTTATGATGAAAACCAGAAAGAAAATAAACCATGGGTCTAACTCAGTTGAATAATTCTTACTATTCAAATGCATATCACAACACTTTACCTAGCAAAGAATAATATTATAAAAGTAGTAGAAATTAACTTGGTTCTCACTAAATAAGCAGTAGAAGATATCATAGAAGTGATAGTGACCTGGCTGCAATGATGGAAGATAGACAGCAGAGGATGTGTGATGGAGATATGGATTCATCGTCATCGATTGTCGTGGCTACTAAGCAATAGCGATCCAACAAAAGTAGTAGTGATAGGCAGAAAATAGTTATCTGATGATGGTGATTCGACGATAGAGGTTTAATTATAACAATGGCATCAATCGAGCACCAGTTGTCAATAACAACATCAATAATGACCAAGCAATGGTAAAGGCAGCACCGACATCAGCCACGTGATTGTAGTCCTTTGGCTAATAAGTGGTTCGACGATAGTGGGGGCCAGAAAATATGACCTGACAAAGGCGGCAATGGTCTGGTAACGATAATGACAATTGCGATGTTGGCAGAGCAACGGTGGTACATCCAGGTACAATTATTGTGGTACAATAGCGTTGACTAGGCGACGTTGATATGACAACCATAGTGTTTGGGATTGTGATTCAATAATGATGCAGGTGGTGGCAGCAGCAACATCTTTTGTTAGGCAATGATGGTCAAACAACTGTGGTGGGGTCCGTAGATTCGGCTAAGTGATAGTGATTTGATAGCGGTGGTGATCAATCGATGGTGACAACATCAACACCACTGATTGGTTGAAGATGGTTCAACAACAATGGTGTATCTTGATGATGGTAGTGGTGGTTTAGATGATAGTGCTCTAAAGCTGACAATGGTGTATCGTAAGTGTGAAAGTGATCGTGCATTGCAATGACTTAGCTAGGTAATTTGGCATAGTGATAGCTGAGGATGGTGACATGTCAATAGTGGTGATGGCCATGCAATCATGGCCTGACAGTGGTGGCGATATCAATGGTAGCCAGATGGCAGCATCAGTAATGTCTTGCCTACAACTGTAGTGGCCTGATGATAGTAGTCTGACAATGGGTGGATCGACATTGATTAGGTGGTGATAGTCTGGCGGCAATGATAACCTAATGTTTGCATTCTAGTGAAAGTGGCCTAATGTCGGTTTTCCGACATGGTGGAAATGGCTCGACGTTTGTTGGGCGATGGAGGTTCGGTGGCAAAGATATTATGATGGCAGTGGTCTGGCATAGCAATGGTGGCCTAATGATGGTGGTCCAACATGGCAGTGGTGGCGCGACATCGAGCTGGTAAATGTGGTTTGACGGTGGCTTCAACAGAAGGAGGTATTCTAAGGGTGGAGGCGGTGGCCCGACATCGGTCGAATAATTGTGGTCCAACTTTGGTGATAACAGCCCATGATGGCGCACTAATGGAGGTGGGGGTGGCTTGATATCTGCTAGGTGACTGTGTTCTGATGATGGCGGGGCCCATGATACTGATATGAAGGTGCTTGCCATGGCTCAACATCGGCAGGGTGATGGTGGTTTGGTGTTGGCAGCTGCTCGACAATATTTGTCTAACACGATAATGGTGACCTATTGTTAACGGTTTGGCACAACAATGGTAGCTTTAGATCTGCAGGGTGATGGTGGTCTATCAGGGGTGGTGAACCGCGACGGCGGTCCGGCGATGGTAGAGCTCAAGTCCTACTAATTAGAGATGTAAAGGGTTTTTTTTCATAAGCAAAACTTTCATATTGATCGTTGGTTGTTTATATATTTGTCTGCTTGTGTGCTTGCCATTATTTTAAGATGAAAGTGGTTATGCTAGTAAATTTTATAGATTTAATACGACATATCTAAATAATGATGCTTATTTTTCAAGCGATTTTTTATTGATTGGTATGTTATATTTCTTAGAAGATTGCATTTATTAAAAATAATGAAAGTGATGGCTTTTTTTTCCATTTGCTTTAGTCATCACGACGAAGATAAAATATTTAGGGATCAGTTTCCAGAGAGGGGGACTTATATACCTATATACTTCATTACATTAGAACAAAATAGATTCCATGTTCTTTTCTTCGATACGTATGTCTAAGCACATGGATGAGACATGTGGGATTATTTTTTTTAAGCTTCTAACTCCTATGATTTTTTATAAGTGCTTTATAACATTTAAGAAGTCCATGCAAAGTAAATTTATAAGGTTTATATGTGATATGAAATCTACATGACATAACTCTTAAATATTCATAGAATTCTTAAGACATCTTGACTAATTTATCACTTAAAAGGACTCTACCCTATATTATAAATCATAAGAATATTTTATGATTAGCATTCACTTTCGATAATAAGAATAAGATATATGTGTACTCTCTCTCTCTCTCTCTCTGTTTGATGGTTAAACGCCGTCTCTCTCTCTCTCTCTCTCTCTCTCTCTGTTTGATGGTTAAACTTTCTATGATTGTAATCATGGAAAGATTAATTATTTGATTTTTGAAGCATTTTATTTTCTTTGGTATAAGATTTAATGTGTGTAGAGATTACATATGTTATTTTATTTTAATGATATACTAAAATAAAATAATTATCTTCAAGTAGAAATATGATCATGATATCCAATCATGAGTGTTAGCTTCATTTTACTTACATCCCCT